ATTCATATCAAAATTGTCGCTTGATAGAGTTTTGTGAGTGCCTTTGAATTGATTCATACCATTTACAAAATGTGTCGTAATTTTAAGGTCTTATTCTAACTCTTAAAACTATGGAAATTCTAAAATGTATGTTGTACATCGAAATACATCATTAATGTGATACACTGATACACACTATTAATTAAATTGTCCTTATTACATAAATATGAAAAAGTATAATGATTTATCCATACTAATCCTTTATTATTATTTAATTTATTTTTAATATGAACATAATTAAATTATATTTTTATTAAAAATTATAATTATTTCGAAAAGTTTTATTTGTTTATGATTGGAACATTTAATTTATATAAATTTGTATATTCATCCAAACAACTATCACTATAATCAACCGTCGACGATCCTATTCAACGCTGGAAGATCATGTTCTTCAACCTCAACTTAAATTCTCGTATCCCCACCGATTTTTAACTGCTTTACTACCACCCCTCTTCCATAGTGTAAGCAATCTTTATAAACAACCCAAATTCACTTTCACCCTTAAGATTATTGTCTAAAAAAATATTCGTAGCTTCGGTTAATTCTTCATTTGTAAGGAATGACTTCAAATTGCCTAAATCGTGCATTCTGCCATCATTGGGGGTAAATGTACAAAATCACTTTCGAAACTAGTTTCAATGAAAGGAGCTAAAGACTATGTTTTTGTATATGATGAATCTATAAGAATGTAACATTGATCAAAACAAGAGCTCCAATTACATATAAATTAAAAATTATCAATAATTCCTTAAGCAATTGAATAAACTAATATGTAGCTGTGAAAAATTTTACACGATCTTGGAAAGAGTCTAGTGGGTATGGCATTACATAAACACAAGTAAGTAACATGATTTTCTGGCGATGAATAGGATCGTCGGCGGTTAGTTTGATGGTTGTTATTGGGACGAATATGCAAACTTATATAAATTAAGTGTTCTAATCCTGAACAAATAAAAAATCCTAAAATAATTATAATTTTTAATAAAAAATATAAATTAATTATGTTCTTATTAAAATTTAATTAAATAATAATAAAGGGTTAATTGTGGATATGTCATTGTTTTTTTAAATATTTATTTAAAAAGGATAACTCAATTAGTGATGTGCATCGGTATGCCACATTAATGGTGTATCTCTAGCTTTGTGAACTTAAAAGAACATAATTATATAAATAAAAGTTATTAGCAAAACAAGTAGAGCCCAGACACAGAATTAAGATACGTATAAATTATATGTGTGTGTGTGTACTGATGGTCAAGTTTAGCTTCCGGGAAAGAAAATTTTCTCAGTGAACTTAAATCATTAGCATGTTGGTGTACTTATTCTTTATAATGGTAAATCACGGGAATCTTTACGTATGTAATCTACTTACACAGTGTGCAGATTAAAAAAAGTTTGGTACAGCTCCTGAATCCTGATGAATTGTTCCTTCATAATCTCACTCTCATACTGACTTCTTCTGACATACATATTGCAGTAGAGGAAAGGTTTTCTCATCCTTCAAAAAAAAGGTAAGTAAGTTTGAAGGAAATACATTGGATAAATCTAAAGGTGATGATTGAGGTTGGAATATATTGGGAAAAAAGGGAAGGCGATTGAATTATTTTGTATTAAAAAATTAGAATGAAATGACAGATTTTGAAGCAGTGCATGTCATGGTGATTTGTTGTATTGGAGGTGTTAGGTACATGAAAATCTTTGCCAAAGTAGTTTGGTTGTGTTATACTGACGGTCGTAGTGATGTGTTGTGGTGGGGAATGTGAGTTGTTTTCCCTTTTTTTTTTACTTAGTTTCAAAACATGAATGATGATGCCGATGACCATTGCTTATCATTGTCATACTACTACTATATCTCTTTCCAGCTCTACTTCCATGTGACTCTCTCTCTTACTGCCAATATCTCTACTAAATTGCTCTAAAAGACAACCAAATAATCTGTCATTTCTGCACTGCTGTGTAGATATGTCTCCATAAAGCTTTCTCCATTATTTTAAAAAGGTTCCTACTCGTTGAAGGCTAAGTTTGGAGCCCATTTTCAAGATAAACAACCTCACAGTCCATGGGGATGTCAAATAATGGAACTCGGAATGATTATGTATGCTTAACCTTATCTAATCCATTCAGTTGGATTTTGAAGCAAACATCATATATCTAAAATGGTAGTTGATTAATGATAATTTGGTTTGGTTGGTCCAATTAGTCAAATATGTATATATACGATGGTGGTTTCTGCTGACTGATTTGAACTTGTGAATCAATTTGTCGGGCATAATTTTTCCTCACGTCCTCGTAACTTCTATACTGTTGACTTCTCCTTTACTTGAGTTTATGATTACTTGCATCGTCTCGCCTTCTGTTAGCAATTCTTTGACGTTGTTTCGGCTTAACCTATAGACAACCCTTATTCAAAAACTTACAAGTCAACTACAAAGCTATACAGAGTTGCTTAACCTGTATGTGAAGCAAATGCAGTTGCCCTTTGCTCTTTGTTTCCCTCCCATATTCGACCTTTTCTAGTACGACTCCAACAAGTATATATACTTCAAACTTATAAGTTTCTTATCCCACATTAGGGTTTTCCTTCGAAAAATCCACTAACTACGCGTAACTCATCCCCCAAGACAACACCATAAATCTTATTTCCTCGAAATACACATGGCCCTGCAATTGTTATTTTCACTCAAAGTACACCAAATGGTTATTATCTTTATACAAACCTTTTCAAGTAGTACGAGGGACATCGAGCATATAAATGGATAGTCTGATATATGGATAGGTTTATCATAAATTAACTCTTTCTTTGTTATTTTTGTTTTCCCCCCTTCTTGTTGCTAAAATATCTTAGTCTCATTCACAAAAACCAGATGTGCGACGCGGGTCGGTCCGGATTAATCAATACGAAGCCTTGGAACCAGGAGGACAATAAAAAAAAATTATAAATAATATTTTTTGTTGTAAGATACATAAATGGTCATTGACGTTTGAGTACGTTTCTTCTTTATGCATTGAAGTTTCAAAAGTAACGAAAAAGTCATTACCACTATTGTTTTATGCCAAATCGGTCACCCAACCGTTAACAATCATTATCCCAATAGCGGAAGGTAGATGTGGCTGATTTGTTATTGCCGTAACAACTTTTAAAGGTTGAGTGACCGATTTGTTATCAAACAATAACATTATTGACATTTTCATTACTTTTGAAACTTCAATGGTAAAAGAATAATTTACTTATATTTCAATGACCATTTATATAGTTTATACCAAACTTTATCCTTTTTTACTTAAAAACATTGTTTTAATATACAAGTGAAATGAGAAAAATGTTATAAAGATGGTGATAATCTTTGAGATGGAGTACATAAAAGATGCATATTTTATCCCAACTATATTAGGCCTTTAAATTTGTATAAAATCCTTGGGACATTAGAGACAAACCCAGGCTCTTCCTTTGTGGGGGGGGGGTGCTGGGCTTAATCTGTCCCTGAAAATTGAAAGTGCCATTTCAAGTGGCCCAACCAATAATAGATTTCAGTTCAGTCAACTAACCCAATTTGAAATACTTCTTCAGTCAACATACACTGCCAAGAGATGTTCTTGATCTGATTCAGAGAATATAATAGATGATTAGTCATGGTTGTTTAGTGGAACTCTTTTGAGAGGGAATCTGTACAAAGAGCAGCGGGTTTATTAAATAACTCAACATCTTTATTGTTCTAATATAGTTGGTGTAAAAGAGTGTTGAACAGGAAGGTACTTTTCTCGTACGCCACATCATTTGAGAATATGATGGTGATGGTTCCCAAGTATTATAAAATGACAACGGCGAGATGGGCTTCAGCATCTTTGCGCTTGGGGCAATGACGTAGCTCATGAGGTTCTAACCGAGGCGCGTCTATTGCTGGTTGAAAACTATTTCCAAACTCCCTCTTAGGCCTGGGCTAGTCCCTGGCCTTGGAGAATTTCTGGAAGGGCTCCCCTTCGGGGTAAAGTCCTGCAATTCCCAGTAAAGATTTTGTAATTCAAACTATACTATTTTATTAATGTGACAGAAGAAGGCGAAATTGTGTACATATTTTATTAAGGTTTCAATGAAGCAATGAATAGTCGTGGATATTCAACTGCCCAGTTTCCCATGGTCTTGAAAGCCACAGCATATTTACGAGTATGATTACGATAGTTGAAAAAGGTTGCCCACTTTTTTAATTTTCCAGACAGCTATTGTAACCACAAAGTCTAGCTTACATTTGGAAGACTGAGATATGTTTCAACTGCACGTCTTCAAAAATCAACGGATATATAGATGACCCAGTAGTAGTAGCATCCAAGTATAAAGCAATCTGACCATATATCAAGAAGCAAGTTTAAAAAGGTTGGAGCTTCTGAGACAATGATAATAAGTATTAAGTCTACGATTGAGATGTGGCTCTTTTAACCCCATCTAAAGCGTACGCTGCAGCACTACAGAACTGGAATCCAGAAAAAAGTCTGTTGTGGCAGATATCTTCAAGCTGATGTACGCTAAGATATGTTCAGGAAATCATCAGAACAAGAAGCCCAAGTGCATGTCATCGTTTTGAGAAAGCGATTAACAGGATAACAAATCAAAAGCACTTTCGGCTGCAGAGATGTCAGGCTTCGAATGACACGAGATGAAGAGAGAGGGAAGGAAGCCAAAGCCTGTGGATCATAATGAACATAGACAGTAGTAAATAAATAACCCACCATTAGGAGCCTTTTTGTTCATTGGTTGGCTTTTCAAAATGCCAGAAAAAGACGATGTAGCGTACTCGTTACTTGCTCGAGCGTCCAAAATCCTTGTTCCTTTAATTCGAGCTTTTCTGCTCCCTTTAATTACAATCTTATCTTCCAAATATTCTTTTTCATTCCTTAATATTTGTCGTTATCCTCCATAAAGTAGGACTAGTATTCCTCCCAAGGGTGTACCGTGTACGTCTCCAGCCGCCACCGTTAATGGATGAGGCCACCAGCAAAATAATGCCGTCTTCCGCCGGGAAAGCCAAGGGTCGGAATGGGGTTGTTGAGAAGAAAGAATACCCTGACCCACTTACCTCTCATGAAGAAGTTGTTAAGGATCCTATTGTTTTCTGGGATACTCTTAGGCGGTTTCATTTCATAATGGGCACCAAGTTTATGTAATTCTCATCTTTCACAACCTTTCTCTTAGGCTCATTTGAAAGGAACTCTACTGCTTAATATATATATTGGATTTTTGAACTTATAAAAGAAAATACACGGATACCTCCTTCAGCTTTTTTCATAAATGTGATATCTTTTCATGCTTCTCTCGTGTTAATCTTTTGTTTGACAGTTTCTGTATTATATATTGTTTTTATTTTTTATTTTTAAGGATTCCTGTGATTGGAGGAAAGGAGTTAGATTTACACGTTCTGTATGTAGAGGCTACCAAAAGGGGTGGTTACGAGAAGGTTAACCATTTTTTATTGTTAATGTTTCTCTTCGGTTTTCCTCTAAATGCCCATCTACCAATCATTTTGGCCTTGTAGGTTGTTGCAGATAAGAAATGGAGGGAAGTGGGTAGTGTTTTCAGGTTCTCTCCGACGACGACAAGTGCATCTTTTGTTCTTAGGAAACACTATTTCAGTCTTCTCTTCCATTACGAGCAGGTTCATTTCTTCAAGATGAAGGGTCCTCTAACTACTCCAGCAGGTTGTTGGTTTCTTTGGGCTTATGCTTATTGCATGGGATTTTCCTTGTTTTCCATTTCTTCTGTAGCATAACACTGTTGCTTCGACTTACTTATGTTTGTTCCCTTCTGGTTTTATGCCGATTCATGTACGGGTATAATGTTCTTATTTTGATGTCCATGCAGTTGCATCTCCAGTTAACGAACCTTCATGCAGACCTGAACTAGCGCTCGTGGAATATTCCCCTAAACCCATAAAAGAATTCCCAGATCCACTTGTTGAAGGTAGCTTTTCTTTTTTGTTTTTTCTTAAAATCCTCTAATTTCTCCATTTTATTTATTTTCCAATAGGATAAAGTCAGTGTTGTCCACACAACGCAAAATTTTGGAAATTAATATCTGTAGATTAGTGATGGCTAAAACTTATGTTTCATACAGCTAAATTTATCCATATGTTTCTGGTATATGTGGCCATGGTCTTTATGATATATATATTCTGAAACAAATATGTATATTTAGCTGTCTCTATTTGTGTGGTTAATTACGATGTTTTCAATTGCCTGGTACCGCATAACCTCAGCAAACATTTGGTTTTAGAAGGCATTTCTTGCTCAAATCCGCTCCTAACTGCCCTTGGAAGCAAAATCTAATATTGACATTTAACATTGTTTAAATGGCTAGTTTTAATTATCTTTAACCATGTTTAAACTCTTATTCAATACTTGTATATATATCTATATATATATGAACTGTTTTGTCTGATATGGCACACTGAATATTCATGTAATGTGATTGCTGTCCATGTAACTTCATGCTCCTATGATGGCCATTGGGTAACCATACCTGATATGATTTTGTAGGGACCTCATGTTTCTCAGTTACGGGAACGATTGAAGGGAAGTTCGATTGTGGTTATCTGATATCTGTGAGGTTGGGTTCTGAGGTTCTTAGCGGAGTGCTTTACCATCCGGAACAACAGCCCGTTTCTGAATATAGCAATGCCATTGTCCCATACAAACACATTCGTGGTGGCCGTCATTCCAGGAGGAGGAGGAGAAGCCGAAGGGCAGAAGACCCCAGCTATCCAAAACCCAACAGGAGTGGTTATAACTTTTTCTTTGCAGAAAAGCATTATAAGCTCAAATCACTGTATCCAAACAGGGAGAGGGAGTTCACAAAAATGATTGGGGAGTCTTGGAGCAGTCTTGGCCCAGAAGAGAGGATGGTAATTGCAAAAAATGACAAACATAACTCAATCAATACATATAAATTTGCTGCGAATATGAATACAAACATGTTGTGTATGATCATTAATGTATGCGAGTGCAGGTGTACCAGAACATTGGATTGAAAGACAAGGAAAGATACCGGAGAGAATTGAAAGAGTACAAAGACCGACTGAAGCAGAGGCAGGGTGTGGAAACTGAGAAACCCAATTACTAGAGGTTTAGCCAGAGAAGCTAGCACAGATATCTTGTGTAGATAATTAGACCAATGACTTGCCTCTTATAGATATGTTGAACTCTATCAGACATTATTCAATCCTCTATGATTTAAAGCTTAGTTAACACAAGCTCTCCGGTTTGAAGGAACCAAAGTTGGCATATTTCTCATATTCACACATCCATAGATTGCAACCTATATTCAATGTTAAAGTAACTTCATCATTTCTTCGATCAAATGCCCTCTATGCAACATGTTTTGGAAGTTCATGCTGTGCTTCAACGTTACAGAAATATTCAGTTTGTTCATCTCTTCTACGCCTGTCCCAGCCACCACCGGTTACTATGCCAGTGTGCCCTCTGCTCTCGATATGCCCGGAATGCTTACACTTTGACAATGATAGAAGATAAATCTTAATAAAGGCTTTTACCCAATAATTATTTCTTTCATGTTGGCAATCTTCTCTGATGGAGTTGAAACATGGATGCAAAATTCAATTGTTTTGCTCATGTCTGGACATCAGTAGAAGTTACCAGTAGGAACACACTGTTCGGATGAACAAGCTTCTGGCAGTCATACCTTAAGAACACTGGTTAATATATTCATTTTAACCATCTGAGGCTCAACACGGCAAATGCTAGTAAATAGTAGTGATTGGCCCTGGAATTAATGGAAAAGGAAACAAACAAGTATGGGTTGTTTTCTTACCTGCACACTATTCATATTGCAGCGGTCAGCGACATCAAACGGATGCATTATAAGTAAGAAAGATTATTGCTTCGAACACTGTCTTCTTGCATGTGTTCCCAATACTCCACCAACAGAAGTGATCTTATTATATGCAAACGAGGAAGTGGGTGACAGGGATTCCGAGTATGATGAGCCAAATTATGACAATGATAATGGCTACTACGATGTTCAACATGTTGTGGAGTTCATCCACGGCAGTTTTTGTATCATTTAGGGACACAATTCGAGTGCTTTTCAATATATGAATGCATTCACCTTGAAGAGGAAAAAAGTGTTCTAGTTCTTCTGTAAACAAATTAAGACAAAAATTTGTTTTATACTCCAATTACCAGCCAATTGTTGAATGATGCCTTGCTGATTCCTTCTTCAATTCCTGCTCCGAAGAGATTCAATGCCTTTAAAGCTTCATCTCGACCCATAAAGCACATAATGTCTGTAAGCTAAATGCATCTGATAGGAGATTCATGTCATTAATTTAATCAGCATGACAGTATCTTTGAACATTAGCAGTTACAGATTGAAGCAACAGAAAGAGAATTTTACTGAGAATCTGGCTTAGCAACATTCTGTAAAATCTTCTTAGCTGCTTCGTGTGCTTGACATTCGTTTGTAATCTTCACTGAAGATTCATCATCATTCTCAGAGTTGAGTATCTGCTCATCCAGGGTAGTCAAGGGTCCGCCGCTGACCATATTAATCCTCCTCCTCATATTCCAAGCTGATATATTCTTTTCATTCAGCTTATGAAGGTGATCAAATTGGATATCCTCATTTTCATCTTAGATATTCTCCTTTGATTTCTCGGACCATTCTCAACCATACTGGTTTTTTGTTGTTTCCAGCTTCCTGCTTCTCCCTTGGTCCTTTGTGACTCCTCGATCTTGTGTACATTATCCTCTTACTTCTTTTTCGGCACTATTTATATCGAGCAAGGGTGGACCAGAGAGCATTCAATGACATATTGATTGAGAATGGCTTCCTGGATTCTGTCAAATAAGGTGTTTACACGGAACGATGAAGCGTATAGCATAGATTCCCATGTCCAGCCAGAAATTCTCATGCAGAGTGGAGCTGTATGACAGGCCTACAGTTTTTGTATTGGTGTAGATGTATTTCAATGTTGTGTTTTAAGTTCACCAGCTTTTTAAAATAATTTTCTTGTATATTTATATTATAATTTCTCGCCTTTATTCCCAGTTGACAAAGCGTTCTTCAAATGGAGTCAATGGAGCTTGAGCAACAAGCTGTCGCGTACTTGTTTATGACCTTCTACTGAGTGACCATTAGTCAATCATCAAGAAGCACTCAAAATGGTTTAACAATCATCACAATGGAGAACCATTGTTGGACTGAAGGATAGAATATGAAACAGCAAAAGCAAACTGTCAAATCTTTGGTTTAAAACATTTCATTGATGAACTGCAGTTGAGCAATGGCAACTCCTTTTAAGTGTAAATACTCGAGAGAGGATATATTCACCCATTGCATAATAAGCTGTCCCATGTAGCTTTGATGTTCATTACTTCGAAAATATTGAGTTCAAGTCCACATATGGAAAGAAAAATAAATTAGTATGCATATAATATAAGCTACAAATGCCATTTGGCTGGATTCCTGACCTAAAAGCCATTCCAAATTTTCTTGGAGATTGATTCAACTTCTGCAACTCCTCCCATTTTTCTTGGTCTGTAACCATTTTCAAGGTTATTGGACATTTCTTAATGGAAAGCATAAGCAAAGGATGATCTCTTACAACCTCCCTCTATCTACTGGCTAAGTCTTCCAACATTTTTGAAATTTCAGCGAATTCGGGTCTACGAGATGGATCCTGTTGCCAGCAGCTCTCCAGCAGCTCCACAAAATTTGGGTGAGTATGCGTAGGAATAACAGGCCTTAAACCCTGAAATTCACACAAGGAAAGCTCTCTTTTGCTTCAAGTCTATTATGCTGGTATGAACTAGAAATCTTATAAGCAAACTGAATTTCCAAATACTTTATGCAAGTGAATCAAGCGATATATATATACAACGATAGTGGATATACATGGATATGCATGCCACTAAAACAAACGAGTTCTGCTAAGGTCTATCTTCTAAAAGAATACCTTCTGGACTATGCCCACCGCTGCTTGTAAGGGTGTTAAATTCTCGTATGGAAGCTGGCATCAGTTACAAAAATTAGATTGATTTTTCCTAACCTAAACCATAAACTACTAGAAGAAAAGATAAACCAGAATAAACCTTGACATGAAAATCAAGTAACTTCAGCAGGAAAAAGAGGGGAAAAGATGAAAAAAAGAGTTGCTTTCTTTACAGCCAAAAACAATACCTTTCCAGTAAGCAGTTCCCATAGAACAACTCCGAAACTGAAAACGTCAGCTTTGTGATCATATGGTTTGTGTTCAATCACCTTCCATGGACCAAGAGTAGATAATATGTCAGAGAGCTGCATGAAACTGCTTAAGCAAATAATGTTAATTATTAATACAGTCATGGTCTGGAATGTCATCAAAAGTGTCATCCCTCATAAATTCATAGGTGCTTGCTCAATGAAATAGTTATAGTTTAAAACAAAACTGAATAAGTTATGCAACTCCTATTTGTAGTACTGAATGAACTGTAATCAACTCCGAGTTTCAAGGTCTGCTTATGCCATACTTGTAAACAAGAATAAATGCAAGAAACATAAGATCCACAACCTTTATATAGAAAAAAAATGAGAAAAAAAAAAACATAAGATCATCTTAAAACTGAAAAGAAATCTGCAAGGTCATCAACCAAAACAAATCTATTTGCACCAACAAAAAATAACTCAATCAAACCTTTATCCTAGTTCTATTCTACTTAGGTTCACTTTTTGTTAACGAGACCGTCACCTCTTACAATCACAACTCATGCTCTGGTAAAATGCAGCATAACTGTTGTTGACCTTTGATAAGATGCATATTAGACATATATTCTATGATATTTTCCTCATATTTGAATAACTAAAATTGATTAAATTATGGATTTTGATTATATTTCGTATTTTGTGGATTAGGTTGAAGATTTGGATAAAACAAGTTCAAAATCTTATGATTAGCATGATCTTCACAAAATCCCCGAATTAAGGAGGAAAAATCGGAATTCAAGAAGCTAGCAAGACCAGAAGAGGTTTTCGCGTAAGGCGTGGGCACGGCTTATTCATCCTGAACTACCGCAGAAGAAGTCTACAGTTAAGGCGTGGGCGCACCTTACCAGTCCGTACAACCCTAAATTAGGGTTACGAATTTACAAAGGAATAAGAGTTTAATGACGGCTAAAAGACTCTTTTGAATTATTCATATCTTTAGAAAAAGATGAGGGCATTTAAAACTCCCATTTTTATGGGATTTTCTTTAAGGGAAACTTCTTTATCTAGAATAGGAAAATCCTTATAAAAGGGGAGATAGGGCCATTAGTTTTACATCAAGTTTTACATTAAGTTTTCTTTATTTTCTTTTGGTTTTCTTTCAATTATGAGTAGCTAAATACTTTTGTTCCAACTAGAGGATAATTGAAGCTTTGGTTCTTCAAGGATTGTGAGATCTAAATAATTTTCATTGTTCTTTTACTTCTTTTCTATTTATATATCTTCTGTTTTTATTAAGAATTATTGTCTTGATTGATTGTGGAAATGATCCGTTGTTCAATTATCAAGTTGATAAATTGCCATTTAGAACTTTAAATCCGTAATTGTTTAAACGTTCTAATATTAGTGGTAAAGTAACATGGTTGATTATGATTATGTTATGAAGGTATATAACCTAGTCTAAATGAATCGAGCTTGTGTATTCGTTGGCTAGAATTGGTGGTCCCTCTAGTGATTAATGTTGTTGATGGATTAAATCTTAAGAGCTTGTCTAGGGTTGTTCATTAACTAGGGAAATAATCAAAGAGTCTCTCTTGATTATCGAGAAACTAAGGAGAGACAGGTTGTTAAAGCTTCTCAATAACCATAACCAATTTAGTGAAAAGTAGAAGATTTTATCATTGCATCTATGATCAATTCTCTGAACCAATTCTGAAATTATACCTTTAGTTGGATATTTGCTTAATATTAATTTCTCTAAATTCTTAGTTAATTATAATTGCCTTTTCTTTTTATCTTTCTCAATTTTAAAACTCCTTTTCTTTGCTTTAATTTTCATTAAAATAAATCTACCCAATCCCTGTGGATTCGACCTTGCTTATCGCTACTACAATTTTATATTTCAAAAAGCAAGTATTATTATTTATTGGATTTGACACCCACCAACCTTCAATTTT